TACCCTGGGAAACTCTGCGGAGACCTTCCCCCTGTCTGTGACTTCTCCTCTTACTCCTTTGGTGACATCTTTGATGCACGAAGTGTCTGATTTTCAGGCGGTCCCAGTCGTCTATGTTGTTTTCTGCTCTCTGAGTGTTTTCAGTTAGGCGTGGGCCTATAGTGGGTTCAGTGTCGGGCCACTAACCACAAGATCAGTGGTTCAAATCCACTAGCCATTCCTTGGGAGAAAGGTGAGGCTGTGTGCTCCCACTATAAAGATTTACAGTCTTGGGAACTCTATTAAAAGCAAGCAATCCTCCGTCCTGCAGGGTCACTGAGGATTGGAACACTCAATGGCAGAGGGTTGACTTGTTTGTTTGATGGTCTTTGCGGTTTTAGGTTGCACATTTAGGTTGTGGGCCCATCTTGAGTTTGGTCTTGTATAGGATATGATTTGGATCCTGCTTCATTTTTCTGCATATGGATATCTAATTCTGCCAGCATGATTTACTAAAGAGACGATCTCTTCCCGTTTGATTAGTTTCCGCCCTTGGTCAAAGATCAGCTGCCCATAGGTGGATGGGTACTTCTGGGCTTTCAATTCTGTCCCATTGGGCAGCATGTCTTTGTTGTACCACCGGGCTGCTCTGACTCCCACGGCTGGGTGAGCCTCCTACGTCTTTAGCAGTGCTTTGCTGGTCGGGAGTCTCTTTCCTTTCCATATAATATGTGGGTGATTGGTGTTTCCATCTTGGCTAAAGACTAATGCTGGAATCTGGATCAGAATTGCATTACATCCATAGATCAAAACCCCTGTCTACCTCAAAGCTTGTTGTGAAGATTCCATGACAACCTATGCACCTCCAGTGTTGAGAAGAGCACCTGGCAGGTATAAGTGACTGAAAACAGTCACCGCATCACTATCATCCTCTACCCTCCCTGGCCCCCATCTCGGGAGCACTACGAAATGACCAGCAGGAACTCGGTTGGTTGACAGCCACTGGAGGCAGAAACTAAGGTCCGGGGGCTGCTCCTGGCACAGAGACGACAGAGAAGCCACTCGTCTCTACCTGGCTGCTTCCACGGGCCACACCTGGGCCCTTACTCTGCTGCCACAGTAGTTGCTCTCTCCTTGGCCAACATTCTTATGAACTTTTATTCCAGGTGTAATGCACTTATTTGTACATGTCACACATAGCATAATGGTATTATTGCTTATTGAACAAATATCGCATTGACAAAATTACGTTATCCTAATAGTTGTAAAGGGGCCCTGGCGGTGCAGTGTTTACATGTTGGCCTGCGATCTGCCTGGTTGGCAATTCAAAACCAACAGCAGCTTCACAGGAGAAAGACTGGGCTTTTTCTTCCTGTAAACAGTTAGTTTCTGAAACCCACAGGGGGCGCTATGAGTCAGCAATGACTCGACGGCAGGGAGTAAAAAAACGTGCGCAAAGGAGCTCTGGTGGCACTGTGGGTTAAGTGTTAGAACGCTAACCAAAAGCTCGTGGTTTGAGCCCGCTAGGCTCTCCATGGGAGAAAGACATGGTTCCAGAAGGATTCACAGCCTCGGATCCTTAGGGGCAGTTCTGTGCTGCCCTATGGGGTCTCTAGCTGTACTCGACTCGATGGCAGTAGGTTTGCTTTGGTTTCGTGGTAATACTGGCAAAAATGATCTGATTTCCTGGACTGGGACATTAGCTCAAATTGACAGATCTAAGACCCCATTTCTCAGAGGCATCAAGGGTGAAACTACTTAGGCTTTGCTTGTTCACAAATGCTTCTAGAGGTAGTTATTCACAAGAATGGTGCACTTGTTATGTACACCTTTCTTCCTTTGCATACACACACCTGACACGGGGAGGCCCTAACCAGCACTCTTTCCAACAGCACCAGCTGTTATTTTCCTTCAGAAGAAATGGTATTGAAAGGGAAAATGGTAACTTTCTTCTCCATCAACCCCCAAGCCACCAAAATTTGCCCATACGCAAAAGGCTAGCATGACCTCTGTCGAAAGGCAGCCTCCCTGCTCCAGGTGAGCCTTCTTAGGGTTCCAGCCAAGGCAACGTGGAGTAACACCAGGACTCCAAGAGATCCTTCCATGAGGTGCAGGGCTCCAGGGGAGGCCTCCCACTTCGACCTCAGGGTGTCTCTGTTGGTCACTCCGTTTTCTCTGTCCCCAGAAGCATTCTGTCCACTGCCCAGAGCCATCTTGGCCTCCAAGCTCTGGCTCCCTACCACCTAAGGGGCTTTTCCATCTCCCCTCGTTTTGACCAGCTTCTTCCCTGAGTCTAAGGAGCCCTGATGGTGCTGTGGAACAAGCGTCGGGCTGTTGTTCACAAGGTCAACAGTTCCCATCTCTGAGGGAAAGAGGAGGCTGGCTGCTTTCGTAGAGATTTAGTCTCAGAAACTCAAAGGAGCCATTCTCTTGTCTTTCAGGGTCACTGTGAGTCAGAAACCACAGGGTGGGAGAAGATTGGGTTTGGTGTCTCCCTAAGTCTACGAACAGATTCTGAGTCCGCGAATTTACAAGTGAGAGAGGGAAGGCACAGAGGAAGTCCAGCGGACACAGAGAGCCCTTCCTTCCTTCTCCAGTTACTGCATTTCCCTTTCAACACTGGCAGATTTCTCAAAAACAGTTCTCTGCTTTCTCCCCCAACTTCCTTTCTCCCTTCCTGACCAGCTGGCTCTGGCTCCTGCCTCCGCACTTGGCTGAAACTACCCTGGGAAACTCCGCGGAGACCTTCTCTTTGGCCAATGCACTGACCTCTCCCAGACCCTCCGTGCCTCTCAGTAGAATCTGATGTCAGTACCACCTGCTATTTTCTCCAAGGCCAGAGGCTGCCCATCTTGTGCCACCGTTTCCTGATACTTTCATTCTTTACTGTCTCTGCTCTGCTCGACACTGATCAGCCTTTTTTGGTCACACACAGCTTTCCGCTCGCCTTGACTCCTCTCTTATTCCCTCTGCCCCAGGTGTCTCCTGCCTGCACATCCCCTGGTCTCTCTCACAGCCACCTGTCTGATAACACTGTGCTTCTGTTTAAACCACGGTCACAGACAAGGAGCTCAATGGGTAAATGACAGAATGAGTTCTTAAAACCTCATTTATCTTCCTTTCTGATTGCACCTCCTTTGTTCATTTGAATATTCTGCCCCAGTGCTCACCTGGCCTGTGCTCCTGGTTCCCTCCACACAGGTGCCAGGGCACAGCCTCCACACAGTCAACTCTGAGTCACTCTTCCTACAACCTGTTTCTCCACCTGTGCTTCCTATCTCACCCAGGGATCTGCCAACCTCTTTGTCACCCGGGCCAGCATCTCCCACTCCACTGCCCCCATTGTCCCGTCCCCATTGTCCCGTCTGCAGACACGTTCTGTGGATGTGACCTTTGTGATACCTCTTCCACAGTCCTTTCCTGTTCCATCTGCTGACTCCTCTGGGGGCCATGTCCCGCCCACTGCGACAATTTCTACCACTCCTTCTTCATGTGCAATGACATTTTCATAAGCTCCATGTCTTCGCTTTGCAACCATCTTGCTTGCCTGCCATGATGGCCAATTTTCCAAGGTACGATTCTCATCGGACCGTGTTCTAACTAAACTCTAACTCGCTGCCATTGAGTCAAGGCCAACTCATAGCAACCCTATTGGACAGGGTAGCACTGTCCCTGTGGGTTTCAGAGACTGTAACTATGCGGGCAGAA